CTTGCTGTTACACAAAAAACAAATTAAGAGCTATTTGAAAAAGAAATAAAACTCTTTAATGGAATGTCAAGCCTGTAAATTTTCCTGAAAAACCACTCTCAGAAGAATACAAAGCGTCAGCCAGGATTTCAAATATTGCCAGAATAATGCCAGTCCCAGCATTCAGTTCTGTAGCACTTAAATTTGCTGAAGAAGTAAACTTGTACTGGTAAGATTTCTGCAGTTTCAGTACAAAAACTGTTTTGTAGATACATCCATACTTTCAAGTTCTGTGAGAGCTTTTTCCCTCCCCCTGCTACCATTAGGAAAAGGTAGGGATGGACTGAAATTTTGGATGGGAAACTTATTGAAAATGTGTAGATATCACAGATGTTTATCCTTATGTAAGAGAGGTTACTCACTGGTGCTCTGTGGGAGTCAGTTCTCTCTCCAATATTTATTAATGACCCAAATCATAAGATTTTTTTCATCTATTAAATTTATATTTGAGAAATAGATGGAGAAAACTGCAGATGTGCTGGATAGTACAAACAAAATCCAAAATTTATCTTGACAAGTTGAATTGGAAAAACACAATCCAGTTTGATAGGAACAAATAGGAGGTACTATGCTTAGGGAAAAAGTAGTAGGGGGATAGTTGGGTAAGTACTAGTTCTTTTGAGATGATGTCAAATCTAATTGGACATCAGTAGCATGCTGAATTAATAAAAATAATATCATGGACAGGAACTCCTTCAGGTATGTGCAGAAGACTTTAGTTTGACTATTGTGTTGAGTTTATTCTCCACTTTAAAGAATACAACTTTGTCTTTTACAGGCTCTTCGTTACTTCCACATGGCAGAAGAAGGTAAGACCTGTGGCTCATTTTGACTGAAAAATATCTTTTAGGATTGATGACTTCCAGCAAACATCTAGCTGTCAGTATTACCTTAGTAACTGTAGTCACCAAACCCAAAACAGTATAATATGATCAGCTGATAAATGTGGTGTGCCCCTCAGCACACTGAGCTCTTACATTGCAATATTTTATCAGTATGTTACGCATCTAATATAAATACCAAAGTGAAATTCATACCTTCCTGAGAATAAAGTACTCTTCCCTAAGGAATTCAACAGGAGTATAGGGAGGCAGCAGAAATCAAAAAAGGGAATTCTGTGTTACTTTTTCAGAATTTTCTTAGAGTTTGAAAATCCTCTGTATTCTAAATAGAAAACAGAAAAAGCAGACTTTTTATTATTTCAGAAGGTATTATGCCAATCTGACAGTTAAACTGTGCACATGATTTAAAATAAGATATGAACGTGTTATTTCTCCAGGAGTAAAGCCATAAGCAAAACTCACTGGCTGAAAGATAAAGGAAGACAAGGGAGGGCAGTGTTCTATGAAAGATTTGTACATAGTTAAGTTATTGAAGATTAGAGGAAAGGCTCATAGTGTGTCTTCCTGAGTGTCAGGTAATGCAGCTGTGAACTGGAACAGTGAACTTCATCTCAAAATTTGCCCCAAAACACCTCCATATGTTTCGAAACCTGACCTTAAATCCAGCAGTAGAGAAAGCCTGTGCTGTAAGTATGAACAGCAGGCAAGATTAGTCTTTAATAGTGAATGATGCTTTATAAAAGCAAGGTTAAAATCTCTCCTTAAAAAATGTTTCTTCTGCACAGCGAAAATTAAGCTGGTATCTGTATGTGCTAGCAAATGTGCCCCATTTTCTCTTGCCTATACCTGCTAAGCTGGTTGCATTACCTGTTGTACCTCCTAAGTCCAGAAAAGCCCAAAACCTGCATAGCAAAGCTGTTGTGCTTTAAGCTCACTGCTTTGCTCTTTCTGAGGAATCTAGTGTCATTTAGTATATTAACTAGCAAGCTGCTAATTAATATAATTGTTTATGAGAAGAAAAAAAAATCTAACAAGTTAAAGTTTTACATGTACTTCTTTCTTTTCCAAAGCCAAACCATGTTTTCTAAAACAAGTATCAAAGTATAATATGCTGCTAATTCTCATCTGAAGTTTTTCTTCTGTCTCTATGCAGCTGATCCAAATTTCTACAGCAAAAATTTGCTCTTTTTGGGGAAAACATACTTGAAGTTAAACAATAAGAAAATGGCTCTTCTGTGGTTAAGCAAAGCAAAGGAGTATCCTGCACAGACAGAGGAGGACAAACAGGTGGGAAGTTAAGAACTGTGATCATACAATCATATATTGTATCCAATATGTATGATGTCATGGCAGTGGAATGTCTTATAAAAGTAACTCAGGGCAACTTATAGTTCAGCACCTTTAACTCAGAATCACATCAGCACTAAAAAAATTGTAGTATCTCTGGAAACTGTGGTTGGAAATACTCTGTTTTATTCATAGCAGAGAACTGTTCCCCTTTCTTCTTCATGGTGGTTCCATAATGCCAACAACAACCAGCCTTAGCTGTGTTACTGAAGGTCACACAGGCACCTCACTAGCCTGTTTCTGTGTGAACACAAAATCACCTTTCATGTGCCTGAAATGGGTAAGGTAGGAATTACAGTTTGGAATACCTCACAGTCATGGGAACACAAGAAAAAACCCAGATGTAACAAAACTTTAACATTGCAGTCCTTTCCAGGCCCCTAGGGAGAGATTCAGATGATTTGAGTAAGACAAATGAAGGTAATGTATCTTTGACAGCAGATCTCCAGTGCTAGATGTCATGAGTCACTTAATTACCCTTTGAAACTCTGCAGAAGGATTTTGGTTGGGAGGGTAGGCATCTGCTTCCTACCTAAACATTCAAAGAACTTCCAAGAGAGGTAATCCATTGGACTTGTTCATACCTGATAATGCATTCAGTATAAACCAATGCAGTTGCAGTTACCTTTCAGAAACAATCCTGTTAGCATCACAACTAACAAAGCCTCCATTTGCATTTGATTTTTTTATGGTTGATTGACCTCTATATCATTTAGCATTAAAGCTGCAGTTGAGATGCAGCACTCTGAATGTCCAACATAAGAAATACTTTGGTAGGATTTTGCATTTCACACCTCAGAAAAAAACAATACTGAGACAGTGTTTCAGAATCCCTCTGTACACTTGCTAGTAAGCCTAAAACTGTTTCTTCCAAAACTGAGTTCCTTTAGTAACATCTTTCAGTGGAAAAACAAGTCTTGCATTCCTCCAGTGCCTTGCACAATGTTTAGGAATTTAATAGCCTAAAGGAGTAGTGGTCTCAGGTGTGTAAGGAATTGGTCAGTTCTTCTGACAGTTACAAGTAGCCAGAGGCACACATAAAACCAGTGGTCCCAAATACTTGTTTTTCTTTAGGAACCATTCAAAAAGTATAGTCAGGAGTGAATTTTGTGCAGTGCCCAAGTTGTTAAACCACTGATCTGCTTCAGCTACTTGTGGCCTCCTGGTACTGACATCTATTTCTTAATCTGTTAGAGGGGTGCAGAGCTGCTGAACTGAGAAAGGCAGCATTCTCTCCATTCTCTGGGTGTTAAATGCAAAATTCATTAAGAACTAGACTTGGTAGTCCACTATGAAGGGAACTGGCCTGTGCAAAGACATTTGAATCTTGTTTCAGCATAACTGGGTTTTCTGAACATTTGTTACCCCAGATACTCAGAAGTTTTCTGGCTTACACTGTCTGCATGGCTTGCTATGTCATTACCATTGTTGGGATGGAGGGTTTTTGTGGTTTAAAAAGGGAGGAGAGGGTGTTGAGATTTTTTTGCTGTTCAGTTTGTTGTTGGGGAGTGTTTTAATATGAATGTTAGAGACCATATTAAAATTTTACTAGGTTTTAGCTGGAAACCTTAAGCAAACAGAGCCTCAGAAATGGTCTCACTTCTTAGTTGCTGTCTAAAGTGTTGAAATCCCTAGGCTGGTTTGGTATGGTCAGAGGTAGGACAGTTTCCTGCATGCTCCTATTGGACTGCAGCAAATCAAGAACTAGTGTCTGTATTCAACACAAATAAACTTCATTTATGTAGTAAGTGAATGACACTGAAGACACTGGCTTAAGTGATTTATTCTGATTCATATTTCAAGTATTGAGCATCTTAAACTATGGAAGAAAAATGACTCGTCCTAGGACTGTCACAGCTGCAGGGAAACATTTGGGTGCTTCTGGGGGAGGTTTTTCTAGAAGAGACTGTAACTATCTGGGACTGTTATGTTACATTTATTTCTTTCAGGTGCAGAAAGAAGCTTTGGAGCTGCTTAATTCTATATAAGAAGAAACAAGATAATGGGAAGTAAGTGCCTCAGGTTTGAGCAGCATAGGAAAAAGGCCCCAAATACTACTTCAGTTTACTGAAGCTGTTACTAAAAGTACAGCTCAGACCTTCTATCTCCCTCTCATTTCTATTAAAATCTGAACTGAAAGATCTGTTTCATTATGTGATCCTGTGTGTTCATTTACATGGGAATGAAGGGGTCTTCATTCACAAGCAGGGTCAATAGTTAGACAGAAAAGGCTGGGAGAGTGATAGCCTGGGGTTTAAATTAAGTTTTTTACACTTCTAAACTACAAGTTATTTATGAGGAATAATAAGAAATGTGACTAGCATAAGTTTAAAGAAAGGAGGGACAGGGTCATGACATAATTATAATCCTGCAGTTTTTTTCTACAGTGTTTTCTTGTGAGGTTCAATGGCCTTCAAGAGTAATAGATACTCCTACAGATTTATTATTAAGGCTGCACTATCTTAATTCCAATGCTCTTAAATGCTAGTGTTTGACTTTGCAGAAAGTGTTGTGGTTTAAAATAAAAAATAAAGGAAAAAAGAACAAGTAGGGAACATCTAAGAAAATCCCTTTATTAGTGATATCAGCACATGCAGTGAGAAACTTTGTGATGATTTAGTGGCTGTAAATGTCTGCTGAGCACACACACTTTACCCTAGACTGTAACAACAGGAGAAATACACTCCCAGTACATTAGACAGTAACTACTGTGGAACAATATGGACTTCTGTTTGTTTTTCTTCTTGGTCCTTCTACTGTGTTGGCAGGAATTTTCACCAGAAATATGAAGTCATCTAAATTAGGTGTCCAGCCAAACAATATATTCCAATTACCCAAGAGAAAAAGTGGACCAAAGAATGAAGAAATACCAAACATGTGGTATTCTCAATAGAACAGCCTAAAAATAAAATTACTAGAAAATACCTAGTATTTGCTATACTAGGAAAGGGTATTGTAATTCCAGGAGTAAGATGAAGAACAGCATAAATTGCTTAGACTAACAAACCAAGCTAAGTCAGTAGTAAAATTTCATGATTGAGAGAGAATCTGGGGCCTGATGCCACAAAACTACAGTTAAAACAGGGTTTTCCCAACTACCATAAAGTAACTATTATTTTTCTATTAGTAGAGCATCATAATGAAGTCCTCTATGTTACAGTGTCTCAGGGTGGGTGATAGAGTGTTTGAGAGAGAATTTTCTGCATTCATATTCTACCAAAACATCTGCATAGTTGCTTCCAGTAGCTTTGTGGCAGAGGCATCTTTATTTAGGTGCCTTTTCTACTGCTGCACAAAGGAAGAATATCCAAAGTAATAGCTGTGAAGTGTGTAGTGAAAAGCAGCTCGGTTGCAGAAAGAAAGGAAACAACAAAACCCATAAACTACACAACAGCTCCTTCAAGTCGTATTACTTCCCTGGTCTGATCTCCAACCATTGCTGCCTTCCCTCTTTTTGCTGTCTTACTCACTCTCCCCAAGTATAGGTGAAATATGGGGAATTCAAGTGGGAAAAGAAAAAAATACATCACAGTCTATCTGAAATTCCCTGAAAATGCCAGTACTGTACACACATGCACACAGGTATATTATTTTGCTTTCTTTTTCTCCAGTCATTCTTTCAGTCAGGCCCTTGACACCAATTCACAGGTCATACATAGGGACAGAAAGCTACTGGATTTGGTTTTTTATGATTACTAATCCTTACCCCCAGGAAAAACCACTGCAGGTATGAGACAGCTGAAGTTACCAAAACAATAAAACAACTACATTCTTGTGGTGTGCTGTCTTTTTTATTTCGTTCACAGATTCACAAAATTCAGCAGTTGGTAGTGGGTCACCAAGTCATTCATTAGTGCAAATTCATTAACTGTGACATTTAGCCCTCCTTGTCTTTTAGGCAAGTGACACACACACTCTGGTGCCTGGCCTTTGACCTTCTTGGTTTGTTTTCTTAAACTTCCTCCATTCTGACCAGCATAAGTGATAATTTACGTGGATTTGCACTTCAAATGAATTTAGTGCTATATAAAAATGGTTTTGCAAAAGATATTTGGTGGTGTATGAAAAACCCTCAAACTGGTGGAAATGTCTGAAGCTCTTACAGAAAAGTTAATGTAAGACAGCAGTCTGTCTGGGCCCGCTGCACCACTGCTGTGACCAGAGCTCTGCACAGCTACAGCTCCAGGGTAAGCTGTGCATATTGAATACAAAGCCTTGAGACAATCCAATGTGTAGAAAAATAAACTTTTGGCAGAATTCAGCTGCTGCATTGGAAAGATACATGAACAGATATAGCTGGTTTTTTCTGCATGTACACTTTTAACAGTGCAATATGATATGTTAACACAAGTGTGTTGAATCATATTCTAAAATCATGTGTGTACAAAATTCTGTGTCATTTAAATGTAATGGAATTTACAGGTAATATTTAAAGCTTATTACAAATGGTGATTTAAAACACATTTTTACTCTATAATAAGGAAGCACAGTTTGCTAAAAGTAGCATTTAATATAATTCACATGAATAAGGTGTTAAATTTTAGTATTTTTTTAAACATGTCTTTGCAGTTCAGCAAATATATGCCAATAAAATGCCAATAAAACTAATTTTAAAATGTTTTTATATTATTGTGCACTTAGGACAAACTTGATCTACATAAAAGGATGACAGGTTTTAGATGTACTTTATTCAAATACATCTAAATTTCAGTTAAGAATTTTAGAGAAATGAGAGTATTTAATACTAAATAATATTTTTATCTGTGCAAAGCTTAAGTAACTTGCATTTTATTTGAGTTTACTAAATCCAGTATCTGAAACTGAACAAGAACACCGAAGCAGCAAAATTCACATTTCCTTTTCTATACCCTTATAGCTCAGTTTACATTAACATAACTCTACAAAGTTATAAAAAGGACATCACAGATTGAAAAGGGAAACCAAACAAAACAAAACCAAATTTAAAAAAAAAAAGCCTGCGAGACACCAGACCAAGAAGAGAATGGGTAGTATTTTCTCTTTTATTATTTTTTCTTTGAAGATTACCTAACATCCTCGTGGTAATAACCCAAGGTACTATGTAAACAAATTTCAATGCTGCTCAAATGAGTTAAAATACTCTGTTCAGCTCCTGCAGTAAGTCAGAACAGTGGCACCAATTCCTTTCAACATTAAATCACATTCATCTCATTGTACATGACTCTTGTGCAAGTAGTAAAGGCTTTATTCATGACCTTGGCTACATCAGTAGAGAGGGATATATCAGCTATTTATGTATTTAAAAAATTAAACTGACAGAAGAACAGATTCTGTCGTCTCAAATACCAGCAGCATCTTTCTACATATTGAGGATACATTTGGCCTAAGCCTTTAACACCTTTTAGAACAGCCATGCAGTAAAACAAACTTGGAGATGTTTCTTTAGAGAACACTGAGCAGTTTAAACATTTTTCTGAATGATAAAGCCAAGATAAAGCAAATCCAGGCCCTTTTAAATGGCTGCAACTTTTCATACACTTAAAGCTCTATAAAACTAGAGCCCATTAGTATATATAGTTATATTTTTATATATATATATTTTAAATAAGTCTCTTGTCTGCTTTCAAAATTTATGGAGGGGTTTTTCTGGTCTTTTGAAAGGGCAATAAATAAAAGTAGAAAAGGCTGAACTGTTTTGCATATATTTGTGGAAGAACAGAGAACAATTAAACTTTTAGAGTTCCAGAAAGATCACTGTACAGAACAAAAAGCTTATATACAATAAGGTGTGCAATTTTAGTTGGCTGGGCCTTTTATTATTCAAGATATCCTTTTTGACTAGAAGTCACTTCTACTCTTGTCCAAATCCCTCCGTTTCTTCAATGGCAAAGAGCAACTTCTCTTTTAGTTGTTCATAGCTTTTATATGGTGGCAAATCCAAACGATTAAAACTGAGCAGGAAGAAAACAGAATTTTGTTAAGTTTACTTAAATCCCATGCAGAACTCTACAGAACTCAATTGTTATAGTGGAAGTTATAAATGTTCTGATCTAACAATTAGAAAAAAAGAAATAACAATCAGCACAAACTCATTGCCTTGGCATTTCTACAAGAAAGAAAAACAGTCAAAGTTTCAGAGCAATATTTTAAGAAACAAAAGACTATTACCAGATGAAAAACCAGAATGGTGAAAGACTGTCCAAGATACAGGAAAATATAATACTTCAAAAAATATAATATAAAAACAGTAATACATAGTATTACATAGAAATAGCAATAGTAATACATAGAAAAGGAAATTTTCAGCATGAAGTTTAATCCTAGTTTGATGCATCTCCAAATTTCAACAACAGCATGAAAAAGCTGAACTTTTCTCCCTTCTACACATGCTTGAATATAGGTGGGTGTTTTTTCCCTGTAAACTTTGCCCTAAAATACTCCTGCCAAAATATTTCATTCCGTGTCTTCCTCAAAATTATCCTAGACAAGATATTTTTAACTGTTGCAAACATCACTCAAAACAAAATCCAGTGGAGAAAATGTAAAATGAAGGATACCCTTATGTAGTTTAAAAATATAATGAATATTATTGTCACAGGTTGCCAAAGGAAACTGTGTCCATTTTGCACAGTCTATATAAAAAACTGATTTGTGTACCTGATGCACCAGTTCAGTATGCACAGGAATGCCAAGCCAATAATGGCCCATCTGAAGCCTGGTGGGAAAAAGTATCAGCATTCTTGGCTAAGCATCCTTTTGAAGGTTTCCTGTCATTGCTTTCATGCTACTTCTTCTTGTGACTATACATTTCATCTTCTATAATGTTACTTCATAATAACTCTACCTAACAACTATGTGCCTACTACTAACATGACTTGTTTACTTATTTAATATTCTCTAAAAGAATTAGGAAAGCACCTTTCAGTTCTACACAAGGATTGCTCATATTTTTGATAGATGTGACACTGACAAACTGTTGAGCACAGTTGCAAAATTGTAGAAGAGGGCAACTGGGAAAGTTTTCAATACTGGCATGTCAGGGCAATCAAATGAAACTGAAGACGGAGATAGAGAATTGATCCAAATTACATTTCATTTGATTTGGCCAATGCAAGCCTGGAAGAGATAAACTAGTAAAGGTACAGAAAGTTATCACATAACAACTCACCAAGTGTGACTTCTTGGTAACCAGGTTTCCTTACCAACTTTTTCAATGCAGAATTTCTGAGGACCATTACTTCCTAAAAAATAAGATTTTGAAAAGTGTAATTTGTTCCTTTTAAGTACCATACAGGATATATATGTGAACACTACACAACTCAGGCACAGCAGAGTTCCTTAATTACACGAACATGCTTCTCACAGAAACAAGCTAATTTCCAAATAGTTTATAAACATATTCAAGGGATTTATGATATAAAAAGCCCTTCTAGATCCAAGGTGATGAACATGAAGTTCCTCTTATCTGTACACTTGCAACATGGTTCATTTGCAAATGAAACAGTGACAATATAAAACAGTTCTGGTCACCTTTTACTTACCCATAAGTTCAGCAAATCCACCCAGTGGTAATCTGCAAGTGCCAGTGACAAACTGCAGAAGTCGCATGCGAACCTCGTTGTCTGTTTCTTTTACAAACTAGGCATAGAAATTCAAATTAATTAATAAAAAGCTTTAACACAGCTGGACAAAACCAAAAACCTCATGAGATGGTTGAAAAAGTATAATTCCATTTAAAAAACCACCACCTTGTTTAGCACCTACTTGCATTTCCTTACTTTAGCAAAATGGAGTGGAGAGAAAAGAACAGTGATTTCAGATTATATGCACTGTAAGCCACTACAATGTGAAGGCTGGGAACAGCAAATAAGAAGAATCCTTACCTATTATATTCTACACTAAAATACAAATCATGTCAATGTTTTGTATAAAGACTACTGTCATTGTTATGAAACACAGCACTGGTCTAGCCACAGACTGGGTATTTCAAGACTAAGAAAATCTTGCATATAAATGTTGGTACTTAAGCTTCTGGTTTAGATTCTTTCAGTACCAAGCATCTTAAAAAGATTTATCATCAGATCTTATGATATAAATAAGATAGGAAATAACTGATTTGCACCACTTTCCCAGAGAAACTTAGTCAAAAGCATCTCTAAAATGGTGGTTTTTCAAAAGGCCGGAAGACCCTAGGTCTGACTTCTCTTTAGGAAAATTTGTAGAATAGTGCCGGAATGGTATTTGAGGGTTTTCCTTAGCCAACTCCATTAAAATGTGAGTGAAGATTAGCCAGTTAGTATGACAAATAATCATAAGTACTAAGTGACATTTTTAGATCACTGAATCAGAATGGTTTGGGTTGAAATTGACCTTATAGATCATCCAGTTTCAACCCCTCTGCCACAGCAGGCATACTTTCCCCTAGACCAGGTTGCTCAGAGCTCCATGCAGCCTGGCCTTGAGCACCTCCAGGGATGGGGCATCCATAGCTTTGCTGGAAAATCTATTTCAGTGCCTCACCACCTTCACAGCAAAGAACTTCCTCCTAATAACTAACCTAAAGCTACTATCTCTTTGAATCCACTTCCCTTTGTCCTGTCACTACATGCTCTAGTAAAAAGTCACTCTCCTCCTTTCTTGTAGGCTCCCTTCAGGTACTGGAAAATGAAATGTTCAGGTGTACTACATATAATAATATTTAGAAGGTAGATCACTAAGAATAAAATAAACCTCACTGAATAATCAGTAAGGACAAGATATAGAAGAAAATATTCATAAGCCAGCATCCAAATGTAATGTGTGAAACTGTCTGCCATTTCTCACCCTAAAGTATCCTCCCTAAAGACCAGTAATCCTCCTTTCCTTCTCTGAAAAGACAAAAGAAAGGAAGCTGTAAGAATCTGCATTTGGACAGCCCTCCACTACACATACCATTTGTGTTACAGATCAAAACAAAACCTACACAAGTCAGAAATGTAAGTGATTAACATACCTGCCAGAACCATATGATCTGCTTGCTATTCCTCGTGTAATGACGATAAACAGTGTTCCTCTGCCAGTCTGCTAAATCTACTTCTTGCATACCACAGAGCATAACCTAGAAAAGAGAACGATTTATTTACATTAAACACAAAAATTAAAGTGTATTTTCTATTTTGTATGAGACATGGTAACAAAAATGAAAGTTTCTGCTCTGAAAAAAGGACTGGTAATTTTTAAAATTTTATTACACAATGAGATTTTCCTTTATCCTAAGTTTACAGTTATCCAAAATTGTGTATGTATATAAGTGGTCTGAAAGACTGAATACCAGAGACTTGGTATCTTCCAACTAATATCTCAGTAATAAAAGCTACTACCTTTTTCATAAGAGAAATTTTTATATTAAGGAGTATATTAGCCTTTCCATTAAATCTTCACCTCATATTCCAAAATGATGATGATTATATTGCTGCTACTACTAATAAAGATAAAACATACTGAAAAGTATAAGTCTGAAAATTGTTCATTACAAGAAGCTATGAAAGCTGAAAGTTCTAAAGGCAAAGCTTTCAACACTGAATAAGACTGAGCAAAGCCTTTTTTTTAGAAAAAAATCCTCCCTACTTAACTTAAGAAGGTTTCAGAAAACTGCTCATTAAATACAGGGAAAGTTGTCAAGTAACACAGAAATAAACGAGCACAGCCTACAGAGCCTTTTGTCCCTACTCCAGATGACAAACCCCAAGAGTAAACACAGGCCAGGCTGATTGTTAAGTAAACATGGAGCATGCAAGCAATCCCTGTTATCAGCCCTTGGGTTGTATACTGAGGATCTGCAAAGTTCCATTTCATGCCTTGTTGGTTCCTCCAAGCTTTAAATATAAGAACCCTAGAACCTGTCTTAGACATTGTATTTGATCCTAAGCAATCACTATGAACTACAATCAACTTCTGTCATCTGTTACACAGTAACTCTACCCATCTACCACAGAGGGAAAAGTCTGTGACTCACAGGTCCATCAGTGATCTCATATACTTTCACAGAAACTTTCAAAAATACATTTTAATGCTGAACATAAAAGCACTGATTCAAGAACATTGATTCAATTTTTATCATTATTTAATTCCACTGCTCTTAATAAATTCTCCATGTTCCAGAAGCTATCAAATGCAGCATGGGCAGACGAGAGATTCAACCTGACCTATCCATTTAATCTCTCCATACACATTACCTTTGCAAAAGCTAAAAATGCTGAATAAAAAACCTCACCTCCAGTTCTTTTTCATCAAAATAATGTAGCCATTGTAGAGGAACTACTTCATTAAAACCATCAAGAAAAGCTTTGGTTTGTTCTCTAACTCCCCGAGAAAATCGCCACTCTGCCATTAGCCTGGGATAGAACAAAACCAAACACGAATTAAACATCAATTAGCATTCAACATGAAGAAGTTCAAACACATAGGAGTGTGTATGTGTTCCCATCAGGTAAGAATCCCTCAAGTTTCACTTCTTACACTGTTCAATTCTATCAACTATAAGTAACCTACTATACTATATTTTCACAAATCTTCACATTTAGATAATAGTAAAGTAGCAAGAGGTAACTTAGATTACCATTCCAGTTAAAAATAAATATTATTATTATTAACCTTAATTAATCTATATACTGTAGAAACTATTTTTCTGAGAAACTGAAGACTGCTAATTTAAGTGGAAACTTTATATGCAGCACTGGACATACACTGTATCACAGAAAAGGGTCTGTGTGCATCTGCTTTTGAGATCACTGAATAGATCAGAAACAGAGGTTAAAAAAAGGGCAGTGATAAAACTAGGCAATAAGCAAAAAAGAGTAGTAAAAAGAGTTTAAAAAACAGTTGAAATCACAGCATGTCACACCTTATTCTGAATTTCAGTTTCCACATTTGTAGCAAAGTTCTAAACAATTTTAGGATCTTCTGTCAAATAGACATCTTCCCTCTACCTGGATTTGTTACCTGAAGTTACTGAAAACAGGCTTGCTCATTTCAGTTTCACCTGTTCTCACTGTACATTAAGAGCATTCCAGGTTATCTCTCCACATGGTCCCCTTTTGTACCAAGCAGTTGTATATCAAGATAGCAACATGTACCAAGGTACTATTTCAATAACAGTCACAAGAATTACATAGTAACATGGGAAGAAAAAGTAAAACAAAACAAAACAAAACCAACAGAAACCAACGTGTCAAAAAAGACTAAGGCAACAGGAGAAACATGGAACATTTTTTTCAGCATCTACACCTTCCTACCTAATATAATCTTTGTTCTCCTTACCCAATATATTCTTCTTTGTTCTCCTCAGTTACCAAGATATTTGAACCTCCTGATTTCAGCTCATGTGAGGTTACTTTCCCTAAGAGCTCCATATCCACACAGAAGTACATTTCCAAGTTACACTCCTCAATGTTATTATCCCTGGATGAAAAGAAAAAAAATATTGCAATTAATTCTACATAAACAAAAACAAATCCATAAAATATCAAACACACACACAAGAAAATAAAATACAAACCTTATCCATATTAGGGAGTTGTAAAATTCAGTATCAATAGATTCCAGGTCTTTAATAGTAAGCTTTTTGCTCAGCATTCGTTTGTAGAAAGGCAGAGAAAAACCAGTGTCAATAAATTTCCCATGAAACAATGCCTGTTGAACAGAAAAATATGTTAAGTTTTTATTGAACTACTGAATTATTAAAGTATTTCTGGACTTGAAGTCTTAATTTTTTCTTTCTCCTTCAAATAATGAAAAGCACCAAATACCAGTAGCAGCTTTATAAAGCCATATTTATACAGAGCAAAACATTAAATTAAATGGTAAGCAAAAAAATTGGACAAAATTTATCCAAGTATATGTTATTACAATTTAGAAATTATTTGATTAAAAATAGGACCTCTCATAAAAGGACTTCATCCCTTCTTCCCTTAGTTATGTGAATAGGCATAATTGTCAAGTGTTACTTTATCCTACTTGATCAGAATATTTGATCCTACTTGGGTATTACTGCCATTTTTTGCTACATACATACATCCAACAACATCATCATTTACAGAATGCTACTGCAGCTTGTAAGAAAGAGCTTTGGGAACCACATTTTTATAGGTGAGTAACAGAACTGAGGAATTAGGTTCTCCACAAAACTGAAAAAAAAAACCTCAAACCCAACATGGTCACACTTGTCTCACTACACATGCATATAGGGTGTAAGCTGAATAATAATAGTACTGAAGCACAGCATTACACACACACACACACACACACACAGTGTTGTCGCTACACTGACTCAGTGCACCTAAGAGCTCACAGAGCACAACCATAACCATGAAAACCCTTTCTTCCCCTTAGCTTTATCAAGTACACTTTCTCCAATTAAATAGCTCTTTTAAAAAAACCATCCTAAACATAGGCCATATATGGCATTCATTGCTTCTCTTTCCTCTCAGCTGAAATTCTGAGAGCAGAAGAGCAAATTAACAGCCCATTTCCTCTAGGCTCCATCTTTTTCCCCACCCAATTTCCCCCTTTTAGGCTTAGTCTATTATGCATTTCCTTCTGCTTAAGGAGACCTTAAAGAAGTTCTCTTAAAGGCCTATATTTATTTGTTTGTTTGTTTGTGCATCTATTTACTTTGAAACTATTTAATTCTTCTCATGGGAGGTTGACCTGGCAGAAATTCCACGTCCAGTGCAGCACCTGGGCATATGATTTTCTGCTTTTGCAAAATTAAGCTCTTAAAATCACCTTATTTGAGGTGTATGATAATCTTACAGCAAAATATAAAAGTTGCCACAGCCAACTTCATTTAACATGTTTTTATTATGAAGCAAGATGTGTATTCTTTATGTTTACTCCTGTTTCAGTTGAAAACAACTGTGGCTACTTCAGTACTTAACACTAAAAAACTCACTACTATTTTAGAACTGCGAGAAGAACAGAAACTGCCACTTCATGTCCCAGTTGCATTATTACCTGAGCTATCTTAAGCCACTAGAGGGTATCTCAGGAAGCACTGCAGAAAGTTCCATCCAGTATAAACCATGAATACTCAAACCTTGCAACAAACCAAATCAGGCAGCATTACATGGGTTTCTCTCTTGCCTCGCTTAGAGAATTTAAAATATAAACACATAAATACTTCAGGAAATAGAAGTTTGTCTTTTAATTACATTAATTACTTTAATTAAGTTCTCTACTATGATCTGTACTGTTATGAAATAGCTTTCCTAAAGTTAGCATTTCTTACAGACAAGATCAAAAATCACCAGCAAAGAAACACTGGCTCTAGCACCTAACTGGCTTTATCACACCTTCCTGCTGAGCGGCCCTCTAACTTGCTGAGGACTCTAAAACAAAGAAAAAATGTGGCAGCCTATTGAAAGTGTAAACCCAATGAGGTAAATTTTCATGACAGCACAACAATCGTGAACTCTGCCATAAAACGCTTGAATTCAGAGATGTTATTGTCATAGCTGAATATATTTCTTAAGAAGCATCTATAAGAAAAGCAGAACTAAGAAACCACCCAAACCTAATTTATTTTAAGTCTGAGAGTATTTTTTCATGTTATGCTTGGCTTGTGTTTATTCTAATTTTGTACAAAAAACCTGAACAACATGAGGCAATATGAAAATGCTTTCTATTCTTTTTGGTTTCACTATTCACCAGGTTGAGGGATGTTGCTGAGGACTACCTGTAGACATGATGATTATGTGGAAAGATGACTGTATACTACATGGAGGGTAAGAAATGTGACAGAACAGGAGTCAATACAGAAGACCAACTCAGTGATACCGAAGAAATGATACAATGTGTCTGATTAGCTTGTGGTTTAAGAGAAATTGGATGGCAGAGAATCAGCTCCCTGACAGCTTCTGCTCTCCTCAGTGTCTGACTTTTATATACATTTAAATTAAGGCCCAGTGTACTCTGCAAAACATTCTAACTCATTTTTTCAAATATTCTCAGGTATACCAGGTCCAACTGAGGAGCCTTTTTCACAAAATATTTAGCCCCATTTTTCAGAGCATCAGTATTCAGACAACCGTTTGCATGAAGTACACACATCCAATTGATGAAAATAAAATATCATACCGAATGTCATACTAACTTTGATAACTCTCCAAGGAAACATGAGTGTGCAAGACACTTAACTCTCAGGGAATTGGCTCAATAAACTTATATGTCTTAATCTTCCATTTCTGTGCGATTAATATAACCTTTATAACTGTACAAACAAATACTGTTCAGAGTAAATGTATAGCTACAGCAAATACAAAACCTTAAAAATCTAACCTACCATGGCAATAAAGCGCCCAATGAAACAGAAATATGAAAGATGGTCAGGATTGATTGTTGATGCTGGATTTATCTGCAGGCAATAGTTGCTCTTGCCAGCATATTCAAATAGGCAGTACATAGGGTTCAGTACTTCATGGGAAAGCAAGAAAAACCATTCTCTAAGGAAAAAAAAACATGTATACACATAAAAACCATCAAATACAGATGTTTATCACCATTCCCATTAGGTAACCAGCAAAATGGTCAAAATATATGCAAACTTTGAAAAATAATATAAACAGTGTTGTATTAGAATCACAGAATAATATATGGTATTATATATTTTTAAATATAGAAAATTAATTATTAGACCAAATAATGTTAGCAAATCATGGTTTCCAAAGTTTAGAAATTATTAGAAGTTAAGATTTTCATCTTGAACTCACCCTCACAGCACAGGTTTTAGCTGCCTATCAGTAACACCTTTTTCTTACACAGTCCTTGCCTCAACCAGTACACAGCACTTACCCTGGTCATCCCTACTTTACTCTCTCCAACTCACATCTTTACTCAAAAAAAATCACAGATTATTCCATGCTTATTATAAACAACTTAGATAAAACAAAACAAAACAAACAATTGAAATCTCAGCACACCTTATTTGCTTTTCCAGTCTGACAGCAAAAACACATACTGAGTTACTGTCGTTTAACAAATTACCATGCATTGGTTAAGCCTACACGACATGAAAGTGTAAAAGTATCTTTTTGCTGAGGTAAAATTAATACATGTTTTTCACCACCTTAATTTTTTTCAACTCAGCTGATCTGAAATAATACCACAATCTGGTATTCAGCATTCAGATAGGTGATTTTGATAAGATTTCTTGCTTTCTAATATTTGCATATAGTATTTGCAGAGACCTGAGAACAGTCATACATACTCAGGGGCTTTTATATCAGGCAATAAATGTTTGGTACCAGGTCTAGGGGTAGCCCATAAAAACAGCTGAAAGTCTGTCCTATAATAACTGTAGGGACTGAATTCCATTCTGACTGCCTTTCAGCTGTCATAGTTAAAAGTTATCTCTTTTATCCTTGTATTTATTCAAGATCAAGGAATAGAAATTAGGTTTGCTGGCATGTTTCTCCTAACAGTGCCATGAAACTCAAGTCATGGATCATGAGTCACTATGATACACTTCCAACCCAAAGGCCAAGTAGAAAGAGTAAACAGAGAAAGGCAGCCAGGATCCAATAACCCTAACAGGGTTCCGTGTATCTTCCAGCAAGCACGAGAACGTTGTACAGCATTCTAGGCAAGTTTCATACTGAGACAATTACATTAACTACACAGAAGCATCAAATTGAATAGACATTTAAATTAGAACAAGTCAGATAACAAGGGAGGAATAAACTAAATCAGCCATTAACAAGAAGTTGCAGAAGCAAGGAATTTTTCATATCAACAGCTAAAAACTTGCCACAGGACATGATGTCAGATTGGTCCTGCTATGTGCAAGGTAAAAATCTGACAGGAACACTGAGTTTAGTCTGCTGAGGGACAGCTGATCTATATTTGTATTAATGCTGTATTTCATTAGTCAGTACATGAACATTTATTTAGTGTCACTTAAGAATTCTCAGCTCAAGTTACAATGAGATCCTGGCTGGTTCTCAGTTTCACATTAAAAATCTTGGGCAAGACTTAAATAAGTATGAAACTATACTGGTTATATATTTTTTATTTATTCATTCTCTACTTTATTTGATTAACACACTTCAGTTGAATTATTCTAACATCTTCTCTATGGAAAGATCTATGAACTGTTCTGGTTCCCATCCTAAACCTATGACCCTCACAATAGGGACCCCAACAAAACAAAACCCATGCAAAGCAAAAATTGAATTCCTTCCTGAAATCACTCCCCAAAAATCTATGTGATACTGTAATGAGAAGCAAAACACCACATACCCAAAAGAAGCTCAACCTTCAGCGGCAACTTTCCTTGCATATAAATACTATACATTTTCACTCAATTCAGTTTTAATGCAGGAAGCTACATAAAACCAGAACAAAACCAAACCAGAACATCTTCACATATTAAAGAAAAAACAAACCCAAAACAACGTAACAAGAAAAATTCTATCACCTATGACCTTTTCCTATTCTCTGGATATACAGTAGTACTGAAATTTTTTTCCAAGCAGGAACATTTCATTGAAGTAACTGGCAGCAGTATTCAGTGGCTCCATTCTCAGTGATCGAGAAATGAAATCTCGTCTATGGTTTTCTTGTTATGAGATTTTTCCCCTCTGAGTTCCACTTCAGATTCTAGAAAAACCCATAGTCCAGCTGTTTCACATTGCAGGGGAGCCAACATAGTCTGTCAGTTGTTCCTTCATGCCTGCACTACTCTCCTTTTGTTTATTTCCTTTCTGTTCTTACCAGTTCCAATCTGGTGTTCACTTGCAATTTTTCCAAATAAGCAGAACACTTTATTTTCCCACAGTTCCCACTTCTAGGAAAATTAAACTTTCTGACAGAAAGTTTTTGAAATAACTCAGACAAAGCAATTAATTTCATTCCAATTTCAACACCACTCTGTCAAAGAATTGAAAAACTGAGAGCATAGTTTTACCAATGTGAAGTTATAACCTGTGACAATAGCCAGTGTTGCCATCTCCTTAATACATTTAGGGTGGACTAAAAGGTACCTAGGGTCAGACTGCAAGAGAAATCAAGGCTAGAGAGCTATTAAAAAAAATAAAAACTATTGAAGAAAATTTCTTTTACCTTGCCAAGCCACCGTAATCCAATCCTTCTTCTCCTCTAAATATAACATATAATCTTCTCCTCAAATCATAGGGCTTTAATGCCATAATCTATTAAAAAATAAATTAATGTTATAAATTATGGATTGTTACCACATCATTCATTCAGATTTAATTTATGTTGATACAGAAATTGTGTATATGTCAAATGTTACACAAATTTGAAAAGCAAGTAGACCATCTCATGGAACAAGCAATCAATGAACTACACACAAAAATACCAACTTGGACTTAAAATCCCTTAGCAGCAGACTGCTAGCAAGTGGAAGGAATATCTGGAAAGTAATGCTTTCTGGGTACGCTGTTCTTACATTCTTCCTAAGGCAGTCATTATTTAAGGAAAACAGGTGAAAAGGCACTTCATTTGATATATATGAATTTTGGTTTTAGGGAAATCACTTAAAATAAATAACTAAATCCAGACTAAGTTCAATATACTTTCATTTATAATATACTTTTTTAACTTATAGAGAATTCCTGCCTAGAGGTCTTGTGGTGACAGCAGCAAGAATTTTCATCCCTCATTTGCTACAGACTGTAAGAGCTCAAGGACTGCAAGCTTCAATTACACAGATTTAATCTTTGAAGGACAAAGCAGTTTTAACTGGAGAAAAAAACATACAAGGTAAGATATCTAAACAAACACGGGAATCAGAAAAGCAAATCCAATGTGGCTGATGCCACAGCAGTTAAGCTATGGAACTCCACCACAGGAGGCTGTAGACGCACAAAGTTCACAAGAGGAGCACAGACAAGCTCATAGAAGAGAAATCCCTTGAGGATTATTAAAATAGTCAGAAACCACTTCAAGCTCAAGAATAATTTCAATTGTATACAGCTGGAAAATGAAAGATCATATGGTAAAAGTATTATATACAATACTTCTTTTCTTAGAGTCTTCCCTAAGAAACCCCCACTAGCTAATACCAGAGGAAGACTACTGTGCCTGAAGGACCATTAGTCTGAAATAGCTATGGCCATTTTTGTTTCTCTGCTTTGTCTTGATAAACAAACACAATAATTTTTGCAGGCTTACTTGCTGGAAGGAATCCTCAAACAAAGTCTGTCTGGATACATTGATTTTCACATGACTTGGCAGTGCATTGGACTGTAATCATAAGGCAGTAACATTAAAAGGTAGCACACACATTTGTAAAAACTCATATAATTTCAATAAATAAATAATCAATAAATCAGTACCTGACACAAGTAACGGAAATGAGCAAGTTTCCACCTAAAGCTACGCTCATAAGCAATCTGTGGCCCTTTATTTCTGTAAGGAAACATTGAAGATACATTAAGCATGCAGACATCAAATCAATGCCAAACAACAGCATGAAGATTTCAAAAATACACAAAAATTGATATTGTAAGATATGATCAAATGCAGTTGCTGGTTTGGAATGCCAGTCTTCCTTTCCACCATCCCTTGCCCTTTTTTTTTTATTTTTTGCAAGTCAATTTACCAAATTTGACAGAAAGATAAAAGATCAGTAGGGTATCAAATCCCTATGAAATGTGTAAAAACTACAAGTCACATAAAGGAGAGACATCTAATTTATCATCCTCACTGAGAGAAAGACTGTTAAGTTAGGCTTTATAAATTCAGCAGCTTCTGGAACTATGAAGGACATTCTAGTGCAACATTCTACAGGCTTGTTGTCATCACTATGTTGACAGAAGTAAACCCTACCCATACAAAAGACATTAAGAAAGCCCCTATAGGTTGGGTCAATACTTTTAATCAAAATTTTTAAAAGAAGATTTGCATGTAAACTTTTTCAGGAGTATTTAGAACTACTTTGTTTAGACATTACTGTTGGTAGAGTGTGTATCATTATAAGGAATACTCATAATTCCATTTGCTGTTACTTTAAAAATGCAACTACTAGTTATATCAGTTCATTATTCAAGTTAACCTCATTGCCCCTCTCTATTTATAAAATTATTATAATCTTGGTATTTCAAAAGAGTATAAAAACTACTGAACATCAGAGCAGTACAGCAAAATGTGTCATAGATAAAGTCACAAATAAAATTTTGAAATATATTCAACTTCTAATATAAAAACTTGTTCATAATTTAGTATGCAATTCCAGCTGAAAGCGTAGATCGTTTTATAGTATGAGAAAACTTCACTATTTAATTATAACAAGGTAAAACATTCAAAAATATATTTAATTTCTCACTTACACAGAAGATTTCCCAGTACGAGGATCATTGAAGGTGGTGGTTCTCGTATTGTGATCAACAAAGTATCTGACACCTTCTCTGGTATATCTGATTTCCCAGCCCTCTGGAAGAGGGTCCTCATTTTGTAAACTGCAAAAGAAATGGCAAGCAGTGCTTTTCCCCCCATATCATGACATAAAAGAATAAGGCAAGATCTTTTGAATCTGCACAGTCATTATACACACCTACCCTTGAGTTCGAGGGTCCTCCCACTGTGTTGTCTTTGTGTTATGATTTACAAAATACACCCTATCATTTGAATCCACTCTTCTTTCTAAGGGAAAAAAAGAAAAAAATCCACTATACAACAACTGCATTCCAAATTTCTGTAACTGCCACTTCCTGAAATCCACAGCTAATTAACTTACCCCAGCCTGGTGGTAAAGGCCCAAGTGGATCATTTTCTGCTGACAACATCGAAGCCTATTTAAAAACAAGAGGACTTTCAGTTAGGCCAAATATTATTAATATTATTTTCTCAGTGTGTTCTAAGGTTATCACTAGTCCTGAAGACTATTCATTCTGCAAAAAAAAACCATCATGCCATGTTTAATTTGGTTTTGCAAAGAAACCTAGATTATATAATAATAAGATAGGCTTTCCACACTTGTTTTCAGTGCAATGTACCCTCCCTTTCCCTTCCTACAGCAAACTTGAGTGCTCACACAAAGAGGTGCAGTTCACACAAGTTTTGAGGAAGCATGGATCAGCAGATAAGCACTAAGGTCTTGCTTAAGAACACGTTTTATCATAATAAACATTTCCAAGCACAGTGACTACTGCCAGCATAGGGGGTTTTACTTCCTCTATACATCATAACTTCCCTGAATGTTTGGCTATTTTCAAACATTGTCATTTTTTTTTTAAATGCAGCTGCATCCATATGCGGATGGATAAAATTATACCAACATACAGTAAGGTTCGAAGGGGGAAAAAAAGGGATTACATTATTATGTAAACACATGCTAAGCTCCTAATATACTGTAACCTTGCAGAAGTCCCCAAGTAGCTCCCAAAAATACAAAGCATGGAAAAAACAAAAATAAAAGGCAGAAATCCCACAAACTACAGGATCCATGCTCTGATCTATAATTAAAAGCATCCACCCCTAAAAATTTTTGAAGGAAAACTTTTAGTCCGTGTGAGTGCAGAATGGAATTTTGCTGGGTGTGTTTTCCAAAGAGTGTCTTAGGAACCAATACTGGTTCATATAGCATTTGCAGTACAAAAATATCAAATAAGAGTTTACAGGAGCAAATTCAGGCAAAACAAATCTATGATATTTTTTCTCTGAAGGAGAAATAGATCAAGGATCAGAAGGAAATGCATTAGTTACACTCAAAATCGAGCTGTATAGTTGCCCCAGCCACCAGCTACTACACGTGAACAGAGAATTTATTTATTATTTCAGCAGCAAATGCAGTTAGTCTTTTCTGCTTTAGGAGACCACACAATCACAATAATCCTCTAACCAAAGACTTCTCTGTGGTGACTGTAAAAGAATAGTGCATTAAAGGAAAAAGCTGTCTGCCAAGGAACTGAATGTTGGCACAGTTCAGATATTTCCGACCTTCTTAATGGGTCCGAGAATTTGTGTATGGCTGCTGGCTACACAGAGCTGTATATTTAACAGAACACAGTGAAAGACCAGGCAGATTCACTTCCAAAATGACTACAATAAATTAATCCAGGTAAAAATGAAAGTAATTCAAATAACCATATCCCATCTACTTTTCTGTCTTTATATAGCTTAGCTTTGACCACTCAAGGTAATCAAAACTTTCTTTAACTGAAAGAATTCATCTACTCTTTCCCAAAAATAAAAGACAGTCTCACTCAAACTGCTATATAGGCAGAGTCCTGGTATGTCACCAGAGCATGAAAAGGTAGCTATAGTTTGACCTTAACTATTTTAGGAAAAACGTATACAGAAGCACACTAAAGTAAAAAAAAAAAAAAACAAAAAACACCACTCCTTCTTCAATAAAATTTCAATTTTCCCCCTCAATAAACAGTGAGTTCTATCTGTGCAACAGATATAACAGTTAGAAAACAGAATTCTAAAGAGATGCAAGCGGTCAAGTTTTCTTTTCCTTCAGGTATATTCTGTCTCACTAACAAATCCTCTTTTATTGATTCTAAGGTCACATGAGACATTTTAAGGAATGGGTCTGTGGTTTTCAGTAAGGGTTATCCTTTAAGGAAGGAAGTAATATAATTGAATTTTAAAAATACATTGTTCACTGAAGGATAAATCTAGCAAAAAAAAAATCTTCACATCAGAAAAGTGAGAGTTTTCTCAGATGTATTATGCAACTGATCAAAGTCATACACCAGCACAAAAAGTTGGCCAAGCAAGAGTTTTTGGCTCTATGTGCTTCAGCTGTGATTCTTGATTTTGCATTAGAAGTTACCAGTGTTTAAATACCTGAAGGAGGGTGCAAAAAGTATGGAACCAAGCTTCTCTCACTGGTTCACAGTAGCAAGACCAGAGGCAATACACTGAAACACAGGAGGCTCCCTCAAAACATCAGGAAACACTTTCCACTGGGAAGGTGACCAAGTGCTGGCACAGGTTTTCCAGAGGGGTTGTGGAGTCTCCATCCTTGGAGGTATTTACAAGACATTAGTCCTGGACGGCTTGCTCTAGGTGGCCTTTCCTAAGGAGGGACATTGGACCAAATAACCTTAAGAGGTCCCTTCTAGCCTTGACCATTCTACTTTTCTCTGATCGCATAAAACAAATTGAATTTGATACACAGCCCTGGGAAAGTTCAGAAAATTAGTGGTGATGCATGTTTCTGCTATTGCTAGTGACAAGATATAATGTCCAATTCAATAATGAGAGGCTGAGAATTTTTAAATGTAGTACTGCAGCATCCTCTGCTTCAGAGGGGAGTACGAATAAAGCCCATCAAATTTAAACTTAGATCTGCACATGCAAGCGTCCTATTCCAATGAAGCTGTTTTAGACTTGTACTTCAAAAGTTTCACCTTTAAAACACTCCAGCTTTTCTGCATATCACTTACAAAGTTTCTGGGATCAGATCATTTTTTTAAGAAGCCAAACACAATTCTTGAAGTGTTTAGAGTGACACTGACACACAGGCACCATCATTCTTAACTCTGAAGAAACAACTATTCTACTTATCCAGTCAGATGGAAAAATCTGACCCGAAAAATATTCTCTATGAAGCTACTCATATTTTCTTCAGGCAGAAGTTAGCAACTATGTGAGAGAAATGGAAAACCATGTAGGAAATTCCAGAGTTGAACCAGATGTATAACCTTCAAAGTAAAAGAACTGCCACTTGTATTAGTGAAGGAACTCTAATCACCTAAACAGTTTTTATGGCTATTTAATGCTCAAAATGACCCCTAACAGCATTTACATTCCTCTTCAGTTTAAGGGACAGTTTTAGTTGTACCTCTTACTACTGGCATTAATAATGTTATGTAAAATGCACTACACAAAGTTGATGTCAGGAAACAAACTCAGAAGGGAGCACGTTCTGCCCAAAAGTACTTTCTGATTTTCATCCAATAAAAGGATGATTTCTAACTTTTTTCAAAATAATCAAAATCTAAATTACCGATGCTAAATGTCATTTAACCCATATGGTTGAATAGTTACAAAATCCCTTTCCTTTAAGTTAAATAACAAAAAGTATATCAATACCTCTGTACTATTTGAAATGTTGTGTACTTTACCGAATAGAGGTATCGTTGGTTGAATTGTTGCATAGCTCCCTGCAGTTGATTCCGTTGCGATTGCCATTGCTCAAAGTTCCTCACTGACTCCATTGTTGGTCGCTGCCACGTTGTCGTTCTGGTGTTGTGGTCCACATAGTAAACTCTCCCACGATCATCAACTCTCCTTTCCCAGCTTTCAAGAAAAACAAATGTTAACAGTTAATTCTTTCAGTAGTGTTACTAACCAATTTTCTCTTTGCCAAATTCCTAAGTGGTACTCAAATTAACTACTGGAGTCACAGGCATGATTTCATGTTCTAAAGGGCACCAAAGTACCTCAACTTAATTGGCAGATGAACAACCACAATGAGCATACACAGACTACAAGCAATTGCCTGATCAGCTCTCTGTCACCTCATTCTTAACGTTGTAAACACCTCTGACTGCAAGTAATGTTGGCAGACTTCAAAAAGAACACTTTGCTGGGAAATCTGAGGTTTGGAACCAGTGCACTACACTTAGTGGTGCCACCTAAATGAAGGTGATCAAATATTCATTATTTCATGCTTAAGTTTTAAAGGAAGAAGCTACAAAATACTTTAGTAGCTGTATTTGAACAAGTGATCAAACCTAGTGACATATCCAATATCAACATTCCTGTAACAACAGCTGCAATTTTATATAATTAAATGAAAGCTAGAATCTCTTAATATATGATACAGAATTCAGTTTTGATGAGCTGCTGTTTGTTTCCAGCAACAAACATACAAACAAAAATATAATAAGTTTATCATATTTAATTCAAAAGTGTACATTACCCAGGAGGTAAGGGCTGTGGTCTTTCCCATGTTGTAGTTCGTGTGTTGTGATCAACGTAATAGGTTCTACCATGAGGATCCTTTCTTTGCTCCCACCTTCACGACAAAGAGACTTGCACATAAGTGAAGATGCAAATACATCCTTGGGACTTCCCACTAAGACAATAAATTACCTTGGGACTGAGTAAAAATACCATGGTCCAAAACCCATTCTCGAACACCAAAGAAAATTCATAACAGAATACAGATCAGTTATTTCCTATTTAACTGATATCACCATAAAGACTTTAAAGGATTTAGCACATAATGAGCATACATCAATTTTCCCAAGCATTTTTCTATTATATTTAAGTTTGGAACAAAGTCAATTAATTATCTGCTCAATGCTTGGATGCTAAAAAAACCTCATTCCAAAAGTGCTTAGAGAGATGCATTCTTTGCATTTCCAAGTTCATGTCTCTCAAAAAATGAAAGTGTTTCATTTTGAAGCTCTGTTCCCAATATCCAACAAACAGCATCTTTCAGAGTGAACCTGAAGTGTGTGCTATCAGCTCTTTTACATGTGTTTCTATTTCCTATCCTGGTAAATTTCTATCTGATCCCAAGTGATTACTTCATTTTGTGAAACAATCTTATGCTGAGGATGGAGCTAGGCCAACAGCTGAAGTTTCATAATGCTGAGAACTACCACAATGCAATAAAAGTATGTATAAATGGCATGGAAACCAGGAGAAACATTAGATGGAAAGGTGAAGTGCTTGCCCACAGTTGATATATATTTATTTTTCTTACATAAACACTTAATTAGTTCCTGAAAATGTAAGCAGAACACCTGGCCTGCTACTACTAAAGACTACTAAAGCAATTTCTAACAATCTAGTAAAATTAAAATATTCCAGCTCTTCTTAGCACATACCTACATACACATCAAATATTATTTATAACATTTTTGAACTCATTCTTACACAGCAAGCACCTACAAGCATTTATAGACTAGTCATTTTCACTTCTTTGTGCTTTGGTCCCTACTACTAAGAAACAAAGGAATAATTAATTATGGCCCAAATAAGTTTGAAAATATCAAATGAAAAGCCTTCACATCTTAACAGACAAGAGTTTGTCTGTTAAGATCACAATACCATCTCAGCAAATCAGTTACAAGTTATTACTTTCTGGGACAAGACTAGCCAGTTATAGCAGCAGTACAAATCCCATTTTAGATCAAATAACTCCATCTCGGTCAGCTGACCTGTATTTGAAAACCCCTTTATAGAATTAAGTTTCTGTTTCTTTATATGCACATTTAGATGACACAAAATGATAGCATTAAAGCAAAACAACATACCCGGGTGGCAGAGGTTCTGTACTGGCACTACCAGGCTGCTGTCTCACAGGTTCTGCAGACGCACTTGGCGTGGAGGAGGATTCCCTCGGCTTTGCCGCATCTGCTGCTGCGCTGCTCCGAGCACTAGGCTGAGCACACTCTGGGGCAGCTGCAGGTTCTACTCCAGCAGACACAACAGGTAATGCAGAAGTGTGGCTTTCAGAACAACTAGTTGCTTCTGTTGCTGACTGAGGTTCTGCTGTATCATTAGTGCAATCTGCTGAAGACACAGGAGCTTCATCTGAACCCGTCGGAGCCTCGGAGATAGAAGAATTGCCAGCTTCAGGTGCAGAGGCAGATGACTCACCATTAACTGAGAAATAGGAAATAACATTTGTGTATCAGAATCTGATGAGATTTACTTTTCAAATAACCAACTTCCAGAGTAAATTTTGGAACCCATTCTCTGTGCTTCCCTTTACATAGGGATACAAATATATATATATATATATATATATATATATATATATATATATATATATATGAAGTATATATATGAAGTTATTTATTAGTTTCTCCATGTCTAGGTCAACTCAATGTTGCACCTCAGTCTAGATTAGCAAGAGGCACCCATCTGCTTTCCACAAAACTGTACAGGCTTTTTTAAAACCCTGAATTTATAGTGAAGTTCAAAAAAGAATCTTAATCAGTATGACATGAAAACAAGTATTATGAGATTACTCTATGAGATTTGGAAAACTAAGAGGCATTTCCTACAGATAATTTCTTTTTTTTTTTTCAGAGCTGACGTACCAAACCCTACAATTAACTCTACACCTGTGCAACTTGGAAAAAAAATCCCCCTCCAAAAGAGGGATTAAAATATAAAAACTATTATTGGCTAACACAACTTACATAGTTCAATGACTGAAGAAAATTACTTTAGAATTACAAAATAAATCAATTCTATCTTTTATAGAACAATAAATATGTCATCAAACTGAATCAAGCACAATCTCGTAAAAGGTTTAAAGCAGGCATGGATTAACAGACAAACGATGCTAAGAAAGCTTTATTAGTCCCAAGCCCACTTGGCAAACAACACACCAATCATCTGCAGAGCTTAACTGAACAGTCTCTCAGCACATCCAGATCTTGTCTAACTCAGACAAGTGACATCAGGTACAGCAGTCTGTAGGACATCCATTAAAAGTCAAGGCCGTAAAAAAGCAGCATCACATCATTCAGCACTTTCATTTTCTGAACCACTAATCAACATCAAACAGTGACAATTCTTAGTAGCTTGTACCTGTTTTAGAGTTGCAACAATTTTCTAAGGACTAAGGATATGCAATACATGCTTCAAGCAATTTTCTTACCTTACAGTATATTATCACCTTACCCTGCTAAGGGCTGAAACTAATTTAATTCTATACCCTTAACCTTACTGATACACATTTGCAAAATTTAATCCTACATTAGTGCCTATAAAATGTTGTTCCATTATTTTAAAGAGTTCACTTGTTTAATTCTGTCATTAGAATCTAAATTAGCAAGTCAGTTTCCTTAAAGAATTATCACTACACCATATGAATTTTCTTGATATGCGTAAGCATAAGCATGATTTTACAGGCAACAGATTTTTAAGTTCTATAAAGGCATTACTTTTTGAACAAAACTTTTCCAGGGTAACACACACTGCTTCCAGATGGCACAAAAGAAATCAACTACATAATGCATATCAAGATTTTATATTGTTTCAGCATGACATGAAAACTATGAGCAATTTGATCACGTTTCCTCAAATTTCTGCTTATACTAGCAACAACTTAATTTACACAAGAAAAAAGTCAACTGAAATTTCAACTTCCATTTAAAATTTCAACTCATCCACATTAAAGAATGAAGAGGATCACATAACAAAGTTAGAAGCAAAATAATGAACAAATCATCTGCTCTATTAGTAAGTTCATCTCCAAAGGAGATGTATAAAACATTACATCAGATGATTACTTCACCAATTATGCCTAATACAGCAATTTTGGCAACATCACATAAAATTACAATCCTGCTAAAGCACAACAGTGCGGAATAAAGTGTCATCAAAAAATGCCAGAGATCTTGCCTTGCCTTAAAAACATCTTCATCCACTGGTAGAGTAGTTGATTACTCCTATATCAATGCCTCAGTGCAAGGTCAGTGATGATTTCATCAATATTACCACTTGAACAAATCAATTATTTTTCAATTACCCTATTCTAATACAGATTTCAAATGGCTCTCTCTGCTGTTGAAGAAAAAGGGAGCAATGTCTTAATAATATATATGCCCTCTAGCCTTGAGCTGAAAAGAGAGGGGAATCAAATAAAGTTCTCCAAATAGAGAAAAGCTTCAGAGAAGACCTAATTTAATTATAACTTTTTAAGGTTCATAATTCTTTCTGTTATCTTCCAAATATACCAGTCTATTACAGAGAGTTTGACAATCTCTGTTCTGCCACTTAGTAACAACTTGCCTATTTCTATTTACGGTTTTCTTTTCTCTCTGCTATCACTGTAATCTCTCCCAAACAGCTGAGAAAAGACAAAGGGCTTACAAAGCACAGCCAGTATTAGACACCAGAGGAACAAAAATCAAAAAACTAGTTTCACTGAAGCAGAAGTGAACTGTAGTCAGAAGCAATGTTTTGGTGTTTAAGAGGGAAACAAAATTCAGTATTTGCCACTAGCTGTTTTTAAATGGAATTTATGAAAAAAAATTGAAGGCACAGAAAGCCTGGAACACATCTCAACTCAGAGCACAGTAGTTTCCTGCCTAAATCAGATTTATGTAATGTCAGGAAAAATTTAACCATAGCTACTCAAATTCATTTTGAAAGAAACCTGATTTTTCCTCCAGACAAACAGTAATATGGTTTCAGAGAAACCGGGACAGAAAAATGAAAGATTTTGGAGACTTTGATCTTCCTTCATCAGAGAAAAGAACTTATGATAAAGTGTGAAACTCAATATATTTAAGAATGGGTCTACTCCAAAAAAATTTACAGAAGTGGACACACAAAATTATAAATTCAAGCCACATCCTTTCAGTACTTTTGAATTCCAACAAAAATTTTCCACAAAAAGTAGCTCAACTTGAGATACAACTAGACAAAAAAGCCTCATGGAACACGTTCTCATAACTCTCTCTTACCAGTGCTGTCGACAGGCTGAGCTTCAAGTGGTTTTGGTACTGGTGTATTTTTGGGTCTGGCTGCAACATGATTAGGAGATGGTGTGCTGTCTCCATTAACAGCTTCCACACTGAACGTATTCTGTATTGCAGAGCTGGAAGGTACTTGATTGTCTATCCCATTAGAAATGTCACAAGCAGATCTTGGTAAAAATAAAAGATGATTTCAGGTTACTATAAGCAACATGTTAAATGGTTACACAACTAAACTAAATGCTACACTAAACTATGCTATAGAAACAAATAAAGAAATGGTGGTAAATTCACAACTGTTTATATTGTCATGTTTGCAGCCCAGATAATTATTTTGGTTTCACACTTGACTATCAAGAAAAACGCAAGATTCAATTTTGAGGATTTCAGATACTTGTAACAGGTAAGAGTTTCCATTTTTACTTTCTCTTTTACTTTTAATGACACATCAGAATTTAATTGAACAGACCGATGCACCTGCTGCATCTTCCAAAACAGCCTTAGGGACCCTTCCAAAGTGCAGCTATGAGCAGGAAAGCCTTTTCTCTCATTAAGAAAGAGGAAGAACTGGTTTTGTTAGTAATATCACTAAAAATACTCATAACATAAGAAAGCAACAAAGTTCTCCCTCAGTAAAAGGAAAATAAGATGAGCTTCTCTTGACATTGGCAGGATGGGACATTGTGAGGACAACTACACATAGGCAGCTCTGTGTTTGCAAGGCCCCGTGGAGAAATGCATTTTAAGGGCTTGTGAATGGAAAGTTTTGTTCAGTTACAGTGGTGCATTGGTTTTTCACTTAAATCTCTTTCTGAATGCTTAAAGCCATCCACCAGAGACACATATTTTGAAAATCACACTCAATGCCAACTACTTATCACCTCAAGGAGTAAAGGGTTAAATAGTGAAATTATTAACTATTTTATCTCACAAAAAAATTTCAGAACAGTTAGAAGTCCAACTTTGTGGAGTAAGAAGGGAAGCAGCAGCATTTCCGTGCTACCTTACCTAACTCCAAAGGATCAGTATAAACAGACTGATCAGCTCTGGACTACAAACTCAATTTACCTCCAAAAGACATGGAGAGATGCTACCTTAAATCTTTTCTTCATCTCTTAATTTTAAAACTGTAAATCAACACAGCTGGATAGTTGTGTAGAAAACTGCAGTAAGTTAAAATATCAACACCAAAAGCAGGATCCCAGTGAGAGAGATTATCTCCAGCAACAATAGCTGAATGAAAACAAATGATTGCTACTACTGCTTCAAAGTGGTATGCAGATGGGTTTCAAATCACTTTTAGCAGTCCCAATTTTTTCTAACGAAAAAGAAAAAAGCAGAAGCACTGTTTTATTCTTACTCAATCATCTTGAGCATCCATTGGGGAAGAGAGACAAATATCCACAAATTCAAAAAAAGAATCAAGTCAAGCATAGAAGGAAAAATGTGTCCCTGCCACTCAAATGCATAGCAACTGGATGTTTTTTCACTCCAGTTGGTGTCAATAACTTAAACAGAAATGGGTTCACACAAGGTAACTGAGCAGACCAGTAACATTAAATTGATCTGAATTGACCTATTTGTCTTACTAGAGATGAGGGGACAAAAAAATCTATTCCTAATTCTCTCCAGCCAGCCCTTGAGCTGGTTAGAATGGTAGAGAAACCAAGAATTAAGCTCTTAATTAGTCTGAATATCTTTTTCTTGCCACTTCAGGAGGAAACAGGCCTTGGCCTCAGTGTTACAAATACTGCTTGTGAAACTCAATACAAGTCTCTTAAGTTCCTGATTATGACCTTAAAAAGGCTGAGGAGGAAGTAATTCAGGTTTTTTTTTTCCCCTCTTCCTTCCGTTCAGGTGCTACATTGCAAAAAGCTGCTAGACATTAATAGAAATGGTTCTTAAGCAGCAAAAGAAAATAAATTGAGTAAGTACATAAAAATACACTGAGCCACTGCTCCCCTAATTTCTGCAGCAGCATTTTTATAGATTTCCAAATGAACTAAACCATGTAACTGTCAAACAAATAAGGTTTCTAAAACCTGTGGCAACATAATTTAGACCTCAAAAGCTAAAATCTCTCCTCTTCAAAACTATTAAAAAAAAACAACAAAAAACCCACCAGAACACAAACAACCCAAACATTTCAACTGATAAATTTGCTGATACACTTCATATTGCATAACACACAAAAATAAATTCCAACCTGGATGAACTTCTTGCTGAAGCATCTCTGTTTTCATGTACAGCCTCGCCATTTTGCTGAACTTCTACTGAACAGTAAGAAACAAATTCAACAGAAATATTCTATTATATCAGTTTGAAATCTTAATCTAAATATTATCATCTGACTTAATTATTTTAACTTACTGGTTGCTGATGAACTGAGATTTGTAAGAGATTCTTGTTCAACAACCAAACCATCTAGCACAACAGTCAGTTCACCTGTTTGCACCATGCCACTCTTGTTTTCCAAAGAGAGTTTCAACTGTTCTTTCACCTTCTCCACTAAAAATGGAGTTGGGGTGGGTAGGGGACAAGAAGGAAAGAAGGGATAGATGAAAAATTAAATTCTAAATAATATTAAAAGAGATCTTCAACACATAAACGTGATACATGCATTTAGATCTATAAAACTGAACATCAGAGATCTTCAAATCAAAGCAGAAATCATTATGGAGGTGTATATATTTACAGCTGCTGTGTGTACATGCACACTTTATTTTTAAAAAGAACTGTCTGTTTACATTGTATATTCTATAGGTATGCTAAAGAATCCATGTGGAATCAGTACTTTGTTGTTAATGATTTCCCAGGTCTGCCATTTCCATTAAGCCCTTTGGAAATTATGCACTACTCAGATAACATGTGATGGCTTTAAGTCAAACAACTTCTGAACCACACAAACAAATATTAAAAACTCACTGGGAACCCTTCATTTTATAACCAGAGCCTATATTCATTTCTCTTAGCACCTTTCAAAACTAATTCTAAAAGATCACTGAAAAAAAATATCTCTTTGAGGAAGATGAAAATGCAAAGACTGCACAGTGTCCTCCCTCAATTTTAAAACTATTTTTAATGAATCCTTACTAGCATTTTCATAGATTGCAACTCCAAGGATTAAACAGTAAGAGAGGACACCTCAGGTAACCAAAAGTTAAATCAGATATTATTTTCACTGAAAGAAAATTTGAGATAACTGATGGTCCAGTAAAATAATTCAATCTGACTGACAAGCAACACACACATTTGTAGAGAGACATATATAATCCAGAGGTAAAACATGCTGAGGATGCTACGAAATTCCCTCTAAATCAACTGCTACAAGTACAACAGTTAAAGCTACATGTCATAAATCCAAACACGGTCAGCTAGGAGCTCACATTAATCAGGTTAAAATGGTTAAGACCTTTCAGTATTTGTGCTCTCAGATTAAAAGATTAGTTTTTAAAGACATGCCATCATATTTCCCTCCATACCATAGTATTCCAAGTTAAATTTAAACTAGGCACTTCTATGCATTAAACTAGCATTTCCTTTTTTTTTTTTTATTCTTAGCATGCATCATAAGTGAACAATAAACATGAAAACAGGGGAGGCTGCCATAACCTACTGCCAGACACCCCCAAGCTATTACCTGAAAGAGCAGGTTTGACAGTGTAGTTGGGCAGCAGTTACCAGCAGACACACACTGCTGTGCCACAATGGATTTTAAGGGACTTCACCCCTCTGCAGCAAGCACAAAGCTCCTGAATCTACAGGATTACTGATTTAGCAATACACATTTTGGAAAAAAGTACTATCTCAAAGAAGAGAAGAAACTAACCTATCACTGAATTGTTTCATTAACACATTTTTTAAGTTTTGCAAAGGGTGGTTGGTTTAACTTCTGCTATTTTATAGGTTATCTTTCTAAACCAGATAAGCTGTTGGCTGTAGCTTAATTGAGCTGGCAAGAAAACTGTGAGGTGTGTGGGCAGTAATTTAATAGTTGTGGTGTTTAGCAGAAAAAGGAACCAAATTAATTCTAATGTTTCTGCATATAGAGGACTTCCCGTTCCATTTTCATCAGCAAAGAGCCTTTCAAGTGCTGCATTTTACAATAGGTATCAATAAGTAAATGAATTAAGGTTGCCAGTCAGATTATTCTACCAGTGAATTCTTAGATAACCCAGTAAGTATCCAACTACTGACTTGCTCAAATAAGAAACATTGCACATAAATTACTTTTGTTGCAATGTACAGCAAACTCAGTCAACCATTCCCTGAAAGAATTTGTCAAGCTGTTAGATCCTACCTCCACAGAATCTACAGTAATAAAATGTTAAATATTTTGTTAGAAATTTGTTAGAAATTTTGTTAGAAATTTGTAGAAAGTATTCAGGAACATTTTTTGTGGCTAACATTATTATAACCCAATTTATTCTGATACAGTTTTCTTAAGTAAAAGAAAATTTTCAGCCTATGAAATTTACTGCTGAATCGTTATAATACAGTTGAAAAAGACCCACTCAATATTAGATTCTATTTCAATTTTCTGTAAGAATCAGAAAAATTTAGCTTTTTTATTTTTTTTTCTCCTTCATCCCCACTGTTCAAAACATTCACCTCAGGTTTATATATAGATAAATTGTGAGAAAGGTTAAGATTGGTTTAGCTTTTAGCTGGAATTCTACTGCCACTCTGGAGTGGAATTTAAAGTGTGGATTCACCATCTTGTTGTACTAAAGAAAAAAAATTTTGAATAGCAAATCAGATATATTCTATTAAAAATATTTAGAAAATATTAGAAGTTACATGGAACAATCAATTTCTAATGTACTACAAGAAAGATCACAATTGTTTCATTAATCAATGTTTTCTATTGCTCTGTGGGCAGCTAAATTATGAGGGACAAATATCCAGTGTTTCTATTAGTGACTCCAGAGAAAAAAACTTGAAAAATTACACAGCTTTTCTGAAAGTTTTTTTTGGTTACCAAAATATTTTTTTTTTTTTTTGGTTACCAAATCCAAAACAGATCTTTTATCAAATTGGTTACTAGCTTGCTACAAAACACTGAATTTCTGCTTTTACTTTCTTCTTTTACTTCCAGCAACTAATACTCTACTGTTTGTTTCAATAGTATTACACCCCAGTGTTACATTTAAAATGCTCTCAATAGCACAGACATCTCTAGAAGAGACAAGTAAAGATATCAACTGAGAGTAAGTTGTAATTACATGTACAATTAGTAGTCTGGTTGCAGGTTTGATATATAGATTAGTAGTAATAATTTTACTTTATTCAAAATATCCTTCATGATAACTTACATTTTCTATTGTGTACTTCCAAAGCTTGTCTCAAGTCTACAGTGGCTCTTCCTAATAAAGCATCTGCTTTTAAAGTGTGATGGCTCCACACTCTAAATTCCAGCGTAGTCTGTGGAGTCACATGCCTGCATAAAAAATAAATTTTAAGATGATATATACAGATTTTTAAGAATTAATTCTTGTTATTAGGAGTATTTGAACTTTATTCACTTTCTCATTGTATTTTTTGATACTAATGAAGTGCAGTTTTGTATTGCAAGGGGAAATTTTTAATTAAGAACTGCAAACACTATGATATCTACACTTAGGATGAAACTTAAAAGTACATTACTATGATAACCTAAGGAATTTGAGAAGCATCAGAATAACCTACACTCAGCCCAAATCTCAGCTATATAAAACAAATCTTGATTTATGAAAGGCTTATTTCCCCTCTTCCTCCAGAGTTCTAGCTAAAAACTTGCATTATTAAATGTGGAGAAAAAGGTGGGAAGTATATTTGTCTGTCACTGAAAAGAATAATACTAAGTATTTTTCTAAAAGGAAAAAAACAACAGAGCATCTATTTTCAAGCAAGAGCTCACTCAACAGGTATCGGCCTGCCATGGAAGTGTTGATAAACATTTTTTGTGAATCCACAAATATATATAAAACCATAAGGCATACTCACAGAAATCAGAGAGGAAAATGCAAATGATGAAGCTAAAGTAAAAAGTGGAGGGAAGCAGAAGGTAAAGGACCCAATTGCAGTATTATGACAAGCTTTGGCATTGATCTCTCCCCTGCTCAAGCTATGCTAGGTCCTGGAGAGTTTTGTAATACAGGGTCTAGTACTGCGAAGGTGGTCCTGGCTGTGTAAAATAGGAGTAGAAGCACTTCATTGCAAAAAGTCAAAGGCCACATATCCATAAGTATTGACCTAATATATGCAGAAAGTTGTATCAGCAATGATGAGAATAATAATAAAAACAAGCCCCACTCTCCCAACAACAGGACTATTTCTACAGTCACTTGAACATGTTGGACAAGCTGGATATTTTTTGCTGAAATACAAGCAAATATATTTTTGCATTTTGAATAGGCTGCCTTCTAAGGGAGGTCTTAGTAAAAGAGCAGCTCAACAAAGTAAAGAAAAAAATCTCCAACACCTACACAAGCAAATATATAGCTGACTCATAGAAGTGAGGGGAATTTGGTAAGCCAGAGACATCACTTAACCTCAAATACCATTCCAATAGCCAGAGGAAGAGGGGGCCAGAATACCTTAAAAATACATATAAGGGTAAGACCCTGAGTAAGCAATACTCATGAAATGAGTCTGCCATTACTATGCATTGCAATTTACCTAATTTCTATCAGATCACCAAATCCTGCCAAAGCAAACCTGCCTCCTCAAGAGAAACTCAGCTCCCTGTGAGTATACTGATAGCTCTGTAATTGTTCTGGTTCTTGATCCTGGAAACCATCCTCAGGTCCAAGACAATGTTATTCTCTTTTGCAACACTGCAAAGGGCTAATAAGTTCACTAAACCTAAATACCAAGAACTGAGACACAGGAATACCTGCTTGCTTCTGAGCAGGTCTGGAGTAAGTAAGTGCTCCCAAGCAGAGTTCCCCAAAGATGTACCACTCCTCACTCTCCAGCACTTACTGGAATCTAGCATGGCTCCTACTGCTAACAAAGCTGGCTATTGCACACAGACATGTCAGATGCTGTGAAATGTACTGGCCCAGGCTCAACACCACTTGATAGGAACTATGGTGTTCCCAGACCCAAGTCCAATATAATCTTGCTTGTGAATAAAGCATTCTAACCAAGAGCAAGACCGCCAGCTCTTCATGGAGTTCTATTCAGGTATATCTACATCCCTAGTTAAAACTAAACCACAAGAAGATTAAAACAGTCAAATATCAGGGAAAGGTGTGTTTTTGTGTGCACATCCCTTCACTGGGAAATTCAAAGGAAGAAGTGTGCTTCCTCATAACTACTACTTATCCAGTTAAGACTTTTCCTTCTAAAGGTGAGAATGACATGGTTACAATTAGTAAGTCTTCCTAGCAATGTATGCTGAACACAGTGCTGACAAATATCAAGACTATATCATGTAGTGCCTCTGTATGCAAGTAACACATTCAGGAAAAAAATATTCTCAAAACATTGTATGGATTCAGAAAAAAAATAATTTGAGATAAATACCAGCTTACGTCTGCATTTAGACATCAACAGCCAGAGCAAACTATGTAGGCAGCCAAGCTTAGTAAATATTTGCCTGCAATGTCTGTCTAATAAATAGTATCAAACAACCAAAAAATCTACTTACACTGTCAGCTGCTCATCCCATTTGGGATTTGAAGAACTACTTGATTTTGCTGTTTTCTTAATTTCTCCATCTGCGGTTAATTCCGTGTAGAAAGTTGTTCCAAACCAATTCTTTTTCCGTTTCAGTTTGGCACTAGAAACTAATAAAATACATTGCTTTATCTCTAACAGCATACTGTTGCTGAAAAACAGAAAATGTCCTGCCTACACACTGTATGAAATACTTTGCAAGGCAATGTTTTTCCTCACCTACAACACTTCTGCTGAACAGAAAGAAGTCAATGCAAAAATTACCATTTTATTTTATTAGTAGCTTTTATTTTCAAAAGCTACTTTGTTAGATAGTTGAAACCAAGTGTCACACGCTCTTTTCCCCACACACTGGCAGGACTGGTTGTACAGACAGCACAATTATTTTAGGGATAAACACTGGAAATAACATAGGTTATTTTCTCATTGTTCTCCCTATTCTTCCCTTAACTGAAAAATGGCTAAGTATATCTGATGATGCATCTGAGGGATAATGAGACAGACAAATTTTTAGTTATATTTTGTTATGAAAGTCGATGCAGTTCACGCCTATTTCAAAATGTCCCTGTATAGGAAAGCCTGTATATAGAGCTTCATTTCTTTGCCTGTATTACTGCATGGTTCAATTTCTGGGTTTACACATCAGTTTGTAACAATTAACAAAGCTACTCTTAGCTTTCCTCTATTTAAACAGCTTTGCAGATGAACTCAAAGGTTTCAGGTAAATATTCAAAATTAAGAAACATCACTGAACAAAGAAGCTACTTTCCCATCCAAATCAGTGGTCAGTTCCTCTGTGCTCCTCAACATAAATCCTTTTCCATGCCCAGTTGAGGGAATCACTATAAAAACCAACAGCAGCCCAATTGCCAAGATTTTAAATTCTATTTCAGGCGGATGGTGTCTTGAAAAGACCACAAGAATGGACTCTCAACTATATTTACCTGCTGTCTCTGCCTTCTCTCTAATTCCTCCCTTGCTTCAGTGTGGTTCTTGTTTACTCCACTTGCAAACTAAAACAAGGCTGAGTATCTTCAGCCATTTGAAAATAATTCTTTCCCCTTCCTGTCCTTTATGGTACTTGCTAACTCAATGTGGAATTTTACTGAACTGAAAGGGAGACGTATTTCTGAATTGCAGTATTCTGAGACATAAACATTAGTCACTTAAAAGTTAGTGGGGATGCAACCATCCAAGGTTCTAAAGGAATTAGCCATGGACTTTTACTTGTTTCAAATAAAAGGTGCAAACTTAACTTCCTCACATTTGAAAAACCCAGCCTTAGTAATGCATCATGGGTTATAAAAGGCTTTCATCCAGCTGATGAAAGCTGGATTGTAGTAAACTAAAACTGCAATTCCACACACAAGTCATATTTTTTCATCTCAAATCATGATGTTTTTAAGCTTTGACAACCTCTACTTCTTCCACATTTTCCTCCACAATTTACTTTCCAAAGGAAAATACAACATTTATTAAAACACAGTTATTTAATAATGATATTCAAGCTTCCTCCTAATTTCCCCTTTTTTTGTCTGATTACGTGTTGTTAGTAATTTTTGAGTCCCAAAACATAAAAGGAGACCATGATCATCTTTTGGTTAGGACATCTTCTTAAAAAAACTATGAATAAGTAATAATACCAGCAATACCTCCAAAAGAACAAGACAAGATCTCACCAAGAATATTTGAACAAATACTGATGGCAAAGCATGCCTACAACATGCTGTATCTGTCCAAACTCAAACAAGTCACCACTCCATACAAATTCTTTGCCTGCAAAATGACTCTATTATACTTGCTGCCTTTATAAAAGTGCTTTTTAAGTATAGTTCTTGAAATAATTATAGCTTCTACAGCAGCATAAACAAAACTGCACATAATTATGCAGTGTAGGTCAGCAATACTACAGTCCCACACTCCTCTGCCTCCTACTACTCAGAATGCCACTGGCATTCATTCCTGTGATCCTGCAATAAAGACTAGGTTTAGAGAACTAAACCTTCAGAAAACTAACCACAAATGTTGTAAAGACTTCTTCCCATTTGAGCCCTGACCCAGATTTCTTGGAGTCAAAAGCAGTCCCAATACCAGAAAAATACAAGACTATTTACATAAGGAGGAGCTCAGTACAGGAAAAAAAATTACCATTTCTGTAGACACAGATCTGAAATTAAGGGTCATTTGTGTAAGTCAGTTTACAGTAACATATATACATTCAATCTACAGGCAGCTCCATCTCTGCTATTAGTCATTGCCAGTTTTGATGATTCATCACATTATTGAGTAATGTGCTCCTTACATAAGGTTAATAATTTTTGAGGCTCCTCTCTTATCTAATTTCATAAAATATCCATTTGAGGGACTCTTCAACTCTTGCTCAGATAACCTGGACATCTTTGGATCATCTAGCAAGATGCACCTTTCTTTAGATGCAGCCTTTATTAAGATGTGGTATCTTACTCATGTTTTTCCCCAATTTTTTTCAGGATAGCTTTAATATATTCCTATTTTTACTTCCATTATTACTTCAGCATCCATTTTTACTTCAGCATTCCCAGATTTCTCAAAATCCCTGGAAAGCTCAAGTTAGTTATCAATGATAAAATAATACTTATACACATAAATACACATATGTATATTCATGGTAGGTGTATTTATGTACAGTATCTTACCTATGTGCTGGTAACATTTTTACTTTTAACTGTGGTAACACTGTCACTATTAGCTATTGCTTATTTAAATGCACTTTGCTTATCTTCAGACTACCAGGAAACCCCAGTCCTGTTCTGCCATCCCACAGACAGAGTAGCTCAGACTGACAACAATTGTCACATCATTGACCAGTCCTTGTCCATCAGTAGCAAAATGCATTCTTGGTCTGTTCAACAACTATTGAAAAAGTGTCCCCAGCACAATCAGAAAGTTCCAGGACGGTTTTCCAGAAATTTCCATGGATACTGGGATGGCTTATTTCTGCCTCAAACTATGAACACCAGCAGAGCAAAAGGAAAAAAGAGACTTCACAGCAAATTGTAAATGGATAGAAGGAAAAACATTCAAATTGACATGGCTTATCACAAGTAAAGCTGGTAATCTACAGACTTTGAGATACTGAAAATTCAACTGCACAATATAATGAACAACCTGATCCAACTTCAAAGGTAGCCCTGCCTTCATCAGAAGACCAGACTAGGGAATCACCAAAGGCCCTTTCCAACCTAAGTTATTCCATAGGTCTGTTAAGTCTAACCAGTGGCCCTAAGGATATTATATTCAACAAATATTTACCTGATTTTAATGAAAGAACTTAATCTTCTGAAGGGCTAGCAAATTCTGTGATCTCCTCCAGTTCTCCACCTTCATTAAAACATTGTACTTATTTTCAGCTTGGGGTTCACTACAACCACCGACCTTTTTCCTAGAATTTCAGTAATCTGTGTTCCCTCTTCAGAATACATGTCATTAACCACTTGTTCCCAAGCAAAGTTTCTTGCAATTGTCTGTACTGTTGTACAAAATACCTTTTTTTTTTTATTTTGAAGATTTGTTAAACTCTATCATGCAACTCACTGTATAATCTCTATTTAGCCTCAAATCATCTACATATATTATAGTCACATTATTAACTGTAACATTCATATCATTAATTAAGATATTAACTAGCTCATTTTTACACTCACTTCCAGGAATGCTTTTGTAGAATACATATGTTTTCCTGTAAAAATCTCTATGACACAAATCACTACTTGCCTGTTACTTGCATCTGTAATCTTCCATTACAGTTGTGACTTGTATCAGATCTTGGTGAGGCTGTGGCCATGTCAGAGGTTTAGGCTTCAGCCTAAAAAAAGCAAACAAGATAGCTTATTAAAAAGTACTTATCTCTGCATGTCAGCTACAGCTATTAAATAAAAATAAAATGTTCAACTAATCAAGAAGTTACCAAGTATTATTTATGTACAGCAGAACACATTATTTCATAACAGCAGCTAAAAAAAGCAATAACTTTGGAAATTTGTCCCACGTTACACCTCTAAGGATGCCAAGACACTTCAGTAACATATATATTTACATAGCTTAGAACAACTGTGTAAGGCAAGAATAGAAATTCAGCTGTGATATATCAATAATTCTCTCTCTAGAAAACATACTTATGGTCTGATTTCAGATAAGCTGAGCACCAACAATTTCAAATGAACAAAACGTTTGAAATGTTTACATGCTCGAAAATCATGCTGTCACCAGAACAATACACTCAGTAATGACAGCAATTCAGACAAACGTTTGCATTCTATCCCTAGATTTGCCACCAGCTTCCTGCCCCACTGCAAATCACTGTGGGTGATTTGTCCACCCACAAATCACTTCCCTCATCTATTGAGACAGGAAGCGCTTCGCAAGGACACCCAGCTCACCACTCAGCAACTAAAACTGAGTGTGTCAGATCCCAGCTGGGGCATCCCAGCACAAACCCATGCAAACAGCATCACTCCCGTCCTCCTGAGCTACTACACCTGAAACACATCCAGGAGTAAAACATCCTGTTTCTATCAGACAACTACTTTCCACAAGAAAAGAATACATACATGTAAAATAGATTTTCCCTGATCTGGATGAACTTCCACATATTTGCTTCGGTGAATACAACTGGTTTCAATTAACAATATGGGAAGAGCTGTCACCAAACCTTTTTGATCATGCACTTCTATAAGTATGAAAATTTTGAGTACATACCCCCAGTACGTGTGTAGTTAGTTCTAAATTAAATATATGTACCACTTTACTAACACACTCTGTATACATTACAACGTACAAAACCAGAAATTTAAAAGGATGAAATGAAGATGAAATAAACAGTATTTTTAAATATTTTAATGGTAAAAAACCCTTATGCTCTTACCAAAAAAAAGTGGGGGTTTTTTTGTGAGAGCCATGTGATTGAATATGCTTCAGCATTTTTTTAAATGCTGACTTAGCACTTCGTAATACAGCGATTTGAAGGCCTAGTTTCAAATTCAGTTTATTGGCTGTCATAGCTGGAAAACACATTTTACAGAGATACGTACATCCAAATCAAAGTGCATCACTGGCTACACTTTGTAAATCATGACACTCATTTTGCATCTTCATCCACTAATTATGCAAAGGTTTTACTTGAAATATGGCCATAAATTTCCATCTTCCCTGATATCAATCACTTGTTATTGTAAACCAATGGAAGGCACATTTTTATACTTCTATAAAAAAATTCAGATTCTGAAACTCTTAACTGGGAGGACTTTTAAGCAGATAAGGAAATTCTGCTTCCAAGTTTAAGTCTACAAATACAGAAGGTTTTACAGATGACACATCCTTTCTGGCAACAAAAATCACACTAGGAAACATTTCAAAACATCCATTTTCAAAATACTTTCTCAATAGCATCAGTTTATTTCAAAAAACAATAGGTTTCTCACTTGTTAAAATTCCATCTTGACCTTCAAGTGAGGTATCTTAATTGTCTTTTTTTTTTTTTTCTTTTTAATAACTGATAGTCAGCATACTGCTGACTGTTATCACCAAACAGGTCAGGAAATTCGTAACTTGTTTTTTCTGTGAGATAAAACATGTAATTAATCTTCAAGTTTTACAACTCTTCTAAGCACTTTGCCATGATAACTAGTGATCCTCTGCACAGCACACAAGATCTTCCAGGTCACACCCAGTGTCATTACAGATTATGTTAGATACTGAACTATTTAAAGGTTTTGTTTTCATACAATGAACCACAATAATGACATCCTGCAGCACTTTGTGCACTTATGGCTCCAACTTTCTTGTTGCTTGCCTATGCATGATGCAGCGAATGAATTCTGCAAGTCGTGCTCAACTTGTAACCTTAGCCAAGAACCGTTTTTTCTTTGGTCAAATCAGCCACTCCATCTGTGGTTACTTTTGTACACTTTTTCCATTTTAAAAAAAATGTGGTTATTTAAGAAGACACTGTTTAGAATTTATGCTTAAGAATGTCTCGTCTGGTACATCTTTCCCTAATGACTTAGTTCTTTGTGAATTTCATTATGGACCCAGAATCTAGCAATCACCATAAGTCAAGCCACACCACAAACACCTATACTTTCATCCAAGTGTCAGTAGAGCAAGCCTCTCCCACTGTGTAATTTTTTCTGATATTTGTTTCTTCAGAACTTTGGCAATGTTTTCCAGACATCTTTCAACAGTATCTGCTGACAAAAGAATGTGTTTTAGTTTTTCACCACATTGTTTACCATGTATTATTTCAGACATTTATAGTACCACAGAAAGAGGAAATGCTTCCCCAACAGAATCTGTGTCTTCTGCTACTGAGAAATCTCAAAAGAGGCTTCTAATGACCTATCACTAAGTGTAGTGAAATCTTGTAAAATCTTGGATTGATTTCATCATTGATTTCATCATGACGTCAACACTGCTGAAAAAAACCTGCAGATGCTTGTACGCTTGTCTTCATGTTTTGGGTGCTTAGTTTTTAAATGCCTTGCTAATTGTGATGGCTTCATACTATCATCAGCTGATACCTCAAGAAACAATGTCCATCATTTCCAATAGCGGATGTACATCCGTATTTGAAATACCATTCTTGATAAACCAAATTGTTTTGGCTGACTTCTTGTCACCTCTAATTGCCAATGGTTTTATCTCTTAATACACCTGACCAAGAGCTCATGCTAGAAGTAGAAGAAGCATCAGCTCTGCCATGTTCTTAATTTTCATATTATTAGTATTATCTTCAATCTGTAGTCTCTTTGCAGGAATTTTTTTAAGCTACTTGCCTACTTTCTGAGGATTTGCTTGTAAAAACTTTGTAAAAACTAAATATTATAATCCACAAATCCTCCTAACTGGGCCCAAGTAAACTGCCTCCATCACACTACACTGGAAGTGAATGAACAAATGAAGGTGTTACTGTGACCCCATCATACTGTGCAATACTAAATCTGTCTTCGGGGCACCTCATGAACCAAATGTGACACAGACCATCCAACATACAGACCTAGAGAGGGTGCCAGTATCAATATTAAATAAAGCTTATATTTTAACTGAAAAATAAGAAAGAAATTAACTCCTAGATTTTCTTCACACATTCCACTGGATGGTCATCTACACCTGATTTTAGAGGCCGCTGATATGGAAAACATCATAAAAGCAACAAATTCAAACAACTCAAACTCAAATTCTTCCCAAAGAACGAAGATCTGCAATCTAGTTCTAAACACACATTAAAAAACTAGTTTAGGCATACTTCTGTAATTGGCAAATTATGATTATTTCTTTCCTTCAACTGTTTAATCTATGTAGATGTAAAATGCTGGGGTGGGGGGTTGGTTTTCATTTGGTTGGTTGGATGAGTTTTGTCCTTTTTTTAACTTTACATCAAGGATGTGCAAAGCAAAATAAATACAGAAATAAATAAATAAATAATGTCAGAATTCTCAAGTAGACAGTTCATTGTATAATCTCCTCAAACTTCATGTGCTGATTTATCTGCAATACCACCTGCCCAAACCTGAGTTTCTGGCTCTGCAAGCTACTAAGCTGCTAACTGCATTTGGCAAACATGTTTGTCAATCTTCTGATAACAGGGAAGCAAGAATTCACTACACTTAGCTTTGCATCATTCCTCTTGAAAGAAAAAATGACCACGATATCTGGGAGAAATTATTGCAGTGTGAGGGAGATCTCAATAGCTGATGGAGATGAAGCAAAGTTAGGCTTGTGGTTGGCTGAGGCGCATGACTGCAACCCACAACAACAGTACCCCCTCTGATCTTGCTGAATTAACATCCTTCTATAACAGAAATCTATTTTATGTTCTTGCCAATAAGGTACACTTAGGTGCATTTACACCTAAGCAATGATTATAGTTCCACATTTTCGCTATGCTGTAAACTAAATACTGACATGCATGTCAAATACTATTTAGGAAAATACACTAAAATATAGGAAAGTTTTTTTAAAAGCATTTAAACTTTTAAAGATAAACATAGGTTTTTAACAACAATACATAAAGTTTTGTGTCGTGGTTTATATTGAAAAGGGCTTTACTGAACAGAGCAAATTAGTTGAACTGACTGATTCTGTTTTCACCATGTTCCAAAGATTCTAACAGTTTCCATCAGGTTCCAAAGATTCTAACAGCTGCAGCCCACTCATCCTTTCCTAACTGATTAGAAATCAAGAACAGGTTGGGAACTAAGAGAAAGGAAACATTTAATTTATTTAAGGCTTCAGTCATCAGTTATTTTCATCACTAACTCAGTTACTGACATTTTTAAATTAACAGGTTATTGCCTAATCAGCTCAGATGAAGGTTGATTCTTTCAGGAGACAGCCTGCTCACATGACAATGTTTGTCATTTTCATTCAAGATCCAAAAAGCCACTCTAATGTTAATATTTAAAAAAAAAAAAAAAGCAGTCTTCACTGCCTGATGTACACTGGGTCATACTAATTTCCAAACATGTTTTTACTCCAGGTAAACAAAGCCTTCAAGAAGGAAAGTCAGCCAAACTAGATTGTACAAGATGAACTATTTTATCTAGAGCTTTGAATGTCTATTAGCCCCTAAAGGCTGGTCTGAACATATGACAAATGCTGCTGCACAGTTAAAAAAGAGAAGCATAATCCAAAACTTGGCCCTTCAACCTTTGACAGAATAGTTACTGGTGCAGACATGGCAGGGAGCAGAGGTGAGGTGAGACAGCAGACAAGAACTCTGTCACAGGAACTGTTTGCAGTGCTGACAAAAACAGTATTACCAACATTTGTAAGGTACTAGTATGGATTGTCATACTCAAGCAAAAG